TATTGATTTGTGGTTAATATTGGTTCTCACAGTTACCACAAACAACTCAGTTCTCCCTTGAATAGGCCCCTATATATGGGCCTAATCAAATGAGAACTAATCAGTTTGTGGTAATCGTGAGATCCAATCTCAACCACAAATCAATAGATAAATTAAGAAATTTATATTTTGGCAATTCTGAATTAAAATATTAATGCAAAGATATTTTTGGTATTTTAAAACTCTCCTCTCTCCGGCCACCATCCTCCGGCCACCGTCCTCCGGTGATACCACAATGGTAGCACAATGCATCATATATGTGCTTGGGTATCATATTGAGGTCGTTTGTATGGTCGATCGGAGATGTAACACAGTGGTATCACAATGCATCTTATATATGATTGGGTATCACAATGTATCTTTTGTTTTAGCAGAGTCAATATTTTTAGGTATCACAGTGGTATCACCGGAGGACGGAGGACGGAGAGATGAGAGAAAATACCTAAAATGTCCTTGCATTAAAATTTTAATTCAAAATTACCAAAATTATAAATTTTCTAATTTATATATTGATTTGTGGTTGAGATTGGATCTCACGGTTATCACAAACTATTCAATTCTTTCTTGAATGGACCCCTATAAATATATATAAAGAAACAACAAAGGATATGATAAAACAACTTCACATCATGTGTAATATCGATTTATATTAGTTTAGTATCTAATATATGATCATCAACCATTTATCTTCAATGTTTTTTTAAAAGTACCATCACCATGCACGCACGGTTCCGAACACTAGTTAATTAAAAAATATAATAAATTTCTACAAGCTATGTTAAATTTTTCAAAGATTATTGTTTTTGTTAGTCAAAATATTTAATTAGAATAATTGGTAAGACATTCCTCTATGGTCATTGGATGATGATGTCGTACATTTCGGCATGAGAATTGTTCCCAATCCATCGGAAACCCGGTCCATCTGTTCTGTTCGGTGACTGAGATTCTCTGTTAAACTGGGAATGGAGACGTGAACAGGTATCACACTCTCTGCCCCGTCCCGTGCCTATATATTTTAATTAATTTTTTTATTATATATCATTTATTTCTATTAAATCGGTAAATGATAAATCCCATTTCAATATATTTTGGATATTACTAGATCTGATTTTAGATATTACTCAATATGTTTTGGTGTATTTAAAGTTAATTTTTTTTAGATTAAATTTAGGGGGCGTTTGAGATTGCTTATTTGAAACAACTTATACTTTTCTTATAAAAGCACTTATTAACTTATTATAAGTCAGAAGTGTTTAACTTCTTCAAAAACTTCTAATTACCGGTTTGGCACCTGTATAAATTATTTATCCAAACATTCAAAAATGTTTATTACCGGTTTTATATCAAAATAAATAATAAAAATTGTTTTTATAAGCAATTCCAAACACCTATTTTAGATTTATTAAAAAAATATAACATTTAAAACGGGGATTGAGGTCTGTAAGTCACTGGAGGCCCTACATTTTGCCAAATGCATTTGTTTCCCTCCGATATCCATTTCTCGATTCTAGAGGATCCATTCCAATACCAAATCATGAGGAACGAATTTTGCTCAACTGTGCGAACTCCGGTACTAGATTTCCTCATCAAATCCGCTCAAGTAACCATTCGTAAACCTTATCTCATCGCCATTTTTCCTTGGTTTTTGTCAATTTTGGTTCATGAATATATTGATCCAAACAAACAGCAACTTGAAGTTCCTCCGATCGTTAAATACGCTGGATTATCTTTCTTTGCCGAACGATTCTACCCGATCATCTCCAGGTAATTTGTGTTTTGTCTCAGAAATTGATGTATGCATGTAAAAAAGTTGATATGGAGCTCAATTTGCAGTTCCTCATGGCTCATTGTCAATTTTCATCATATTGGAACCGATCAAACCCTAGCTGGAGAAAGTTACGTGACTTTAAGCCCTGGATTCCTTGTAATAATTGACACTGTTTGTGTAATCGTCGAGGATTCATGGTGAGAGTTATAATGAAAATGATTGTCTCTTGTGAATGGCTATACCGGCTCCAATATCATGCAAATAGATAGTAGGTAATATACTGCCATTATAGGTTTGGTTAGCCAGTAATCTCTTTACCCCTTCCCATACATATTCATGTATGGGAGGGCCTGACGTATTAGAAGTCTAAATGCATCCTAGATATTTTTGCCTTCCCTTTCTTATCCAACCCCGAGTGGTAATTAGGATAGTGTTCCTGCCGAGTGAAAGCTTGGTAGTGGCATAATGGGCTCAGTATCTAGAAGCATACATTAACGAGGGAAGGTTTCTTGGATGTTTTGTTTTTGGGTTGCATTGCCTTATAATTTGTTTTGATTGAATTTGTTAGTCCATTCCCAATTAGTTTAGAGTAAAAGGCTCCGAGTAAAAGGTACACTGCTGTTGACGTGCTGTAGACATCTTATGTCAAACACAAAAATGGTTGTTTCGGTTAGGTTGGTATTTGATAGTATAAGGTCAAATATATTGGGTGATATGGTAATGAGTAACATTTTACTACACCAGTTGAAATTTGGTACAGATAAACTGGTCCTGTATAGAGGTTTGTATAATTACTTCAATGCATACGGCTAGTTGTTGCTCGCTTATTGTGATGATCCTAGGAACGACTAGCCAACTTATGTACACATACATGCATGCAATGTAGGAATTGTTCCTCCTCTGATATGACGTAATTGTATGACCATATGGTGGACATCTGGATTGGGGGGAAATGTTGTAGAGAGCTTGTATATATAGGGGTGGGATGAGGGACACTAGATATAGAGGTGGAATTGTGGAAAGAAGTATGGTGCATACTTAATGAAGATAAGAATGGTAGTTTTGATGTTTAAAGATAAGTAGAAACTGAAATCTTGGTTGTGCCCATGGAGCTATATTGGTGGGTATTTAGGAGAATAAGCTTTTGACTGATTTTTTAAATGCATGACCGTTTGACTGATTTAAGAGCGCCTTTGCCTAATAGAAGAACGGCTCTTCCTAACACAAGAATGCCTCAAAATCTGTAAGAAGGTCATCCTTTAAAAAATTATGTCAGAAGGTTATTCTTCTACATAACCCCTTGCTTACTTGTCTTCTTTACAAATTAGTACTCTAATTAAACTTGTACTCAGGGAAGCTTTTTCATAGTTTCGTGGTAGTCCAAAGCACTCCTAGGTCTGTTGCAGTTTCAAGAGGCGTACACATGTTGAGTACTCTTTCTGTCCCCAAAAGATGCAACACTTTTCATTTCAGGTTAATAGTACCTTTTGTGAGGCACTCATGGTTAAGAGCATCATCTTTGATAGTCATTTACAATTTGACATTTTATTAGGAACACTAATACCACCTCCTGGCACAATTATTTACAGTCAGTCATTGACATTAGCTGTTATCTGCAGACAGGAATGTCATTATTCCTGAAAGTGTCTGTAGTAGACATAGAAGTATTCCTTGTTTTGTTTCTGAAGTTATACAATGCTTCATATTGATTTTAGAAGATAATTAGATTAAACATGGAAAGGGAACGCTTCTATGCTTTAGTGATAGCACCTTGGAATTTTTTATATGAATTGATAGGTTGTATAATTGTTTTGGCAAAGATTTAAACAGGACAGTCTAGGACACTGGCTGTTACAACCAGTAAGAGAAAGCAATCTCCAGCTGTTTGCTCTTATTTCAATATGGATCTCAAGCAAAGTATGTAAGCTAGACCTTGAAAGTACAGTTTTTGACTATTAATGGCATTTTTCTAACACCTTATGAATTCAACCCCTGGTAGATACATGATTCTCATCCCTTATCTGTCAAAAAGTTGAAAACCGTGGCTGACAAGATAATCCAGGAGCAGCATTATACAACTAGAGATTTTGCAGATGCAGTAAGCAAGTTATTTTCTGACTTTGTTCTCAAAAAGACAATCTATATATATATGCTTCATTATGCCCTTCTCCTTTGCTGCTTTTCTTTTTCCTATCGTTCTTCCTTCCTTCTCCCTCCGTTTTGCTAACACTGTTGCACAAGGCGGAGGTCTGATGAGATTAACTCGAATTTGCAAAGAAATTGGTAAGGAAATCGTATGATTGCATTGAATGGCTATCAACTTTCGAGAGGTTGATTCTCTCCTGGAATTGTTTCTACGGAGAAATCATAATCCCCTATGAACACCGACCTCTCATTTATACCCCTCCTACCACCCATATACGCTCCTCCACTAACTTCTCAACTAAACACAACAATCCCCAACAACCTGCCACCCACTAATCAAAGATTCAAAGTATAAAGACAGAATTATCCTTAATCCCTCTTTCTTCTAGAATATGTAATCTGTATTGGAGGCTTAACAGGGTCTTCATGAAACAACCACTCTATCCTTTAGGGTAGAGGTCAGGTCTGCGTACATTGGACCCCTAGACCGTGGTCTTGAGCAGGATATACTGTGGTGGTTTGGCTTAGTTAGGTCTGGTTTGGTCTCAAGGAGACAATCTCTATTTTGTTATTCTCATAGTGATTGATGAGAAACTGTGCAGGAGGTGATCTTCATGCAGGTACATATCAAACAGGAATACAACTCATTTGGTAGACTTTTTGATGACACCATTATTTGCCACCATGAAGGTATTGGATTTTGAGATTGGTACATCAAATATTGCCTACAGGTTCCTTGAAGACTTGGTTATTCAGTTAAAGTGAGCATCAATATATCCATTTCATGTTTACAATCGTTTGCTTATGTTAATTAGTTAGTTTCTCATTTGATCACACTTATTTCGTCCTTATGTGAGATTAGGGAAGTTGCAATAGTCGGGTACCATTTGAATTTTGAAGTATGCATGGACATTATGGATCTTCTGTATGAAAAGGAGGAAACATCAGATCTTTATAGTTCTCCGCGTTCTTTAGCAGCATCAATCCTGGCATGTTTCTGACTATTGCATAATATAAACAAACTTGCTATATAGAATTGGGATCATGTAGGATCTTCTTTTTCCTTAAGGAAACACTTTTGATACCAGAGGTTCAGATAAGTTAACATCCTCACGTATTCCTTGAACATAAAATTTTAACAGATGTCAACCGTTTGTGAGGATATTAACTTGTGTGAACCTCTGGTAACAAAATGGTTTCTATAGTTCCCAACAAAATTGAGTTCTTACCGGAACCAAACCGTTATATCTATATGTTGCTTTATCATTCATCTTTGAAAATGCTCTGTGTTCCTGCAGGTTGCCTCGTATGTTGTTACAGTTCCTAAACAAACATGGGAGTTTCCTATTCTTCCTTGGGGTAAGATCCCTCTATGTCCTTTGCATTTAGTTGTTTAACCATGCTTATACATATTTATATAGGCTGCTAGTTAGCAAAAGCTTCAATACTTATATACCCTCCATTTTTGCATCCAAAAAACTCATTTATGGCAACAAAAAAAGTCCCTTTTTATTTAAGAATTGTTGTTCATCCTCGTAAATTCCTCTTCTATAAATCCTATGGGTTGTCTCCACTCTTCACAATAATCATCAGGTCACGTTTTGCGTGTTATAGATCTCAATGTAGACCATGCCAATCTACATGCTTGACAAGGGTAACGGACCTTTTTTTGTGTTGGGAGGGGGGGGG